TAGAGGAAAGGTAACAGGAATTTTCAGGCCAAGAATAAAAGTATATCTAAGGGTATGTATATGAGAGACCTCAGTTGTTAACCTGACCTAGAATACAGATCTGTAATGAGAAGAAAGAAGAAAAATTTTTTGGGTTACATTCCTTTACAGAGCACTAGGAGGCACTATTCACTCAGAATAGCTTAGGTATCACACCTGACCAATAAAACTTAGAGAGAGACTATGTAATCAGCCACCTAAATATAGGTGATAGTTAAAAGTTACCAGGGTGGGGATGGGGGCTTGTCACATGTGAGACTCTGGGTCCAATCAAAAATGAAAAAAAGTATTTTCAAGTTGAGGGTGAGTGTGCTGTGAGTGGTGTATAACCAGCCCTGTCTTCTGTGCTCTAGAACATTCCAATTCCAACCCTGAAGGAATTTGCAAAGGCCCTGGAGACCAACACCCATGTGAAGAAGTTCAGCCTGGCTGCAACCCGCAGCAATGACCCTGTGGCCCTTGTAAGTAAGACTTGAAACACAATATGAAGTCATTTAATTCCCTGGAGACTCTATTTTTAGTTTTTTCTTATTGTTTAAAATTAGCTAACTTTGCTTTTAGTTGTCTTGAGATAGGGTCTGCTATGTGACCTGGGTTTGAACTCACTATATATCTTGGACTGGCCTTGAATTCCCAGGAATCCTCCTGCCTCAGCTTGCCTAGAGCTGAGATTTTAGGCATGAAATCACCCATTCCTGGCTCTTAGAGAATCTTTTTAATTTATTCTATCAATTGAAAGTCTTAGATCTGGCCAACTTAATCTAACGAACTTAACAGTTCTGAGGCTCAGCTTGGCGCCTGTATACACTGCAAGCATGTTGAATTGACTGGATTCTTGTCTGTGCTGCACATTCCAAAAGAGAAAAAAGACAAACGTTTGGCATTTAGCTAAATAAATATTTAGAGTTTGTTCTGTGTTGAGAAAGGCCATTCTGAAACTACAGTGACTTTCTGTAATGGCCAATGGATATTATGACCCCAAAAGCCTACTTGAACTTGACACATATAAAAAAAAAGTCAGAGTGTATTTTATCTTAATCTTTATGTGCATTAATTTTCCAAGCACACTTTAAACAATCAAAATACATTGTTTGACATCCAGTTAATTAGAATATGGGAAGGAAAATAGCAAAGCTCCTAGTCCTTTTATGTATTTTCAGTAATTCAGCCAAACAGGAAAGCTGCTTAGCTCAGTAAATGCTGTTACTGCCGGAACCACCACTGCTGTTCTTCTTGTTTACGTTCCCTAGTCCAGGCGGCTTTCCTGTGGACTCAGTGGCTGCAGCACAGGTCACTCAGGTTTGCGTGTGTACTGCCTCACCCGGACATCGCTGCAGAGTTCTAAGTGTGTGCTGTCGTTAGTTCCCACTGTAACAAAAGAGAGGGTAGATGATCCCAGGTGTCACAAGGAAATGACAGAGCCGAGAGTCACCACCAGGTCATTCTGGTGCTACGCTGTCACATTTACACACAGAGCCCTTCTATGGTACATCAGCTAAAATCTGTGGTTGATAGGGATTCTAGGAATCAACCTGAGGAGAGTCTACAACATCCTTCACTCGGCTCTCAAGTCAAACTAGAAAAAGCAGAGTTGCCTGGCATGATGATTCGAGATTTAGAGCAACACATCTTAGGCTGGAGAGATGACTCAGCAGTTACGAGTGCTTGTGGCTTTTCCAGAGGACCTGCGTTGATTCAGAGCACCCACTCCAGACAACTCAGAAGCACTTGTAACCCCAGGGGATCTGGTGTCCTCCTCTTCTGGCATCCTTGGGTACCTCATGCACATGGTGCACAGACATGCTTTCAGGCAAAACACCCATATGTATAAAATAAAAATAAATGTTAAAAATATAAGTATATATAGATATGTGTAGGAGTGTAGATATAATTTGGAACTATAATGAGATATTCCACGTTCTTTTATTTATATTTCATCTTTGAAATCCACGGTATAAAACATTTATAGCACATCAGTTCAAACTAGCTATTTTTTTCAAAGGCTTAGTAGCTATATTTCTTGTGGCTACCATTTGGTCAGCAGGGAAGCTATGTACTCTGGTTTCTGTTAGATTTAAAAGATTTATTTTAATTTTTAATTAAACTGTGCATTCGTGTATATATGTGCTTGTGTGAGATCAGGTGTCCTTGAAGTCTAGAAGAGGGTACCTGGACTCTTGGAGCTGAGTTACAGGTGGTTATAAGCAGCCTGATGTGAGTGCTGGGAACTGAACTTGGGTCCTCACCAAGAACAGCATGTGCTCTGAACTGCTGAGCCATCTTTCTAGCCCCAGGAAATGGTATTTTTGTATAATCCCACAGAGTACAGAAACAAATCCTTTTCTGAGACATGTGTTTCTACTCTAATTATTTATATAACATTAAAGAAATCATACCCATGTTTCCCTGACATTCTTATCCCAGTACATGAAGTAGATGCTCAGATAGTTGCTGAACTGAAGTGAACTTGGGTGTCATAACTCCAAGTTATGTTTGGCTGCGTGTGCTCCATTTTGTTCAGTTGGAGAAAAAGTGTTTTCTCAAGTTTAAGATAAAGCAACATGATTGTGGCTGGCAGCCAGGAGGTCCTGAAAGTTCTTGTAAAGAACTAATTGCTCTGACATTTCATTATTCTGGAACTGGAAGTTAATGCCAGAGCTTGGTGTGTCTCGTAAGGAAAGGCTTGCCAAATTCCCCTCTCATGCTCTGATTAGAATGTGCACATTTAATTTTAAGATCAAGTATTAAGCTGGGTGTGGTGATGCGTGCTTCTAATCCCATCACTTGTGGGGAGAGGCAGGCAGATCATTGAGTTCAAGGCCAACCAGGTCTACAGAGTGAGTTCCAGGACAGACAGGGCTACACAGGGAAACCCTGTCTCGATAAATCAAAATCAAAACAGAGAGAGAAAGATAAGGGGAAGGGAGGGAGAGAGACGGAGGGAGGGAGAGAGAGAAGGAGGGGGAGAGAGAAAGAGAGAGAGAGAATTGGATAAATGTACCTTGGATTGTATAGTGTGCCATCCCATCTCATATCCCTGGGCTTTCCGTTCAAACAACTGTCAACAAGCACACAGGATTTTAATTCTGTCCTAGTTATTCTCAGCTCAAGAGCCGTGTTGCTCCCAGGGCACACTGGCAGTGGTGACAGGAGATGTTTAGGGTTGTTGTTGTGAAGACAGTTCTATTGGCATGTGTTAGGTCTCAGAAGCCAGAAGGCTGTTAACCAGCCTAGCACACAGGACACCCATAGCAAAGAACTCTCCAGGCCCAGATCTTAGACACGTCAAGGTTGAGAAATTCCACTTCATGCGGAATTCCTTCTCTTCCTTCTTCCTGTCCTAACTGAAAACAAGGTAATTAAAATAGTTTAGAACTTCCTTCTAAAATAGTTTAGAACTTAGGTCTACTCCCTAGAAGCAATCACTATTAGCAATTTGTTTTTCATTCTTCTAGTTATTGTCTTTAGGACTTAAAGTGGCTGCCAATCAACTGTTTATTCACCTGAGGAGCAGAAGGCCAGGCCACAGCCTTAGAGATCCTGACTCAGTCCCTGTTCATCTGGGTGGGGCCCAAATATACTTGAAATTTTATACGTATATTTCTATTTAAACTTATTTAGATGTTATCTATGTATGCGTGTGTCTGTGTGCACCTGCATGTATATGTCTAGGTAAGCGTATGCACACCTGAGTGTGGGGCGTACCCATGGAGGCCAGAAGGGGCATTGGATCCCTTGGAGCTGGAGCTGGACTTACAGGTGTTTGGGAGCCTCTTAATGCTCAGATCTAGACACTTGTTTTCTTTTCTTTTCTTTTTTCTTTGTTTGTTTGTTTGTTTGTTTGTTTGTTTGAGACAGGGTTTCTCTGTGTGCCTTTCCTGCAACTTGCTTTGTAGACCAGGCTGGCCTCAAACTCACAGAAATCCTCCTGGTTCTGCCTCCGAAGTGCTGGTTAAAGGCATGTGCCACCACCCCCCAGTGTGGACACTTGTTTTTATAATCGAACTGCAAGCACTCCGAACCATCTCTCTACCCCAGTTATATGTGTATTTTTTAATTTCACTGCACTCAAACACTTTAAACTAGTATTAAAATGTGTTTGTTTAATGAGTATGTAGTCTCAGCTCTTGAGAGATGGAAACAGGAAGATCAGCACTTTATGGCCAACCTCAGTTTTACACACACACACACACACACACACACACACACACACACACACACACACACACACACGGTATGTGTGGGGGCGGGGCAGGGGGGCGGATCTGGCTATTTGTCCAGTGGTTTTGTTCCCAGCACCCACATGGTGCTCACAACTATCTGCAACTCCAGTTCCAGGTGATCCAACACCCTCTTCTGGTCTCTGCTGGGTCAAGCACAGACATAGTACACAGACTTACATGCAAGCAAAACACTCATATGTAAAAAAATAAACAGTTAAAACTAAGGGAAAACATGCTCACTCACACCATGTGGGTGCTGGGAATCCAACCCAGGTTCTTCAAAAGAGCAGCTAGTACTTATAACCGCTAAGCCAGCTCTCCAGCCTCTCCTGAGCTGTTTTAATTTTTCTTTTCTTTTGTTTGAGACAGGGTTTCTCCGTGTAGCTATGGCTGTCCTGGAACTCACTCTGTAGACCAGGCTGGCCTCGAACTCACAAAGATCCACCTCTCAAGTGCTGGGATTAAAGGCCCGCGCCACCACCACCCGGCTGCCATTTTCATTTTTAATTGTAGTTCTAAATTTTAATTTTACTTGGAGATGAAGGTATTTTTGACTTAACAAAGGTTTTCTTTAAGTGCTGTAAAATTATGGTTTTTATTCCGAAGAGATGGTCATGAAACCCATCATTAGAAATCCTAATGGCTGTTTCTGTACACTAAGGCTTTTGCAGACATGCTGAAAGTCAACAAGACCTTGAAAAGTCTAAACATAGAATCCAATTTTGTCACTGGAACTGGAATCCTGGCCCTGGTGGAAGCCCTGCGAGAGAATGACACCTTGACAGAGATCAAGATTGACAACCAGGTACAGAAGTGGGGCGGGCCAAAGCTAGCTTCCATCTTAGACAGTTGGGGGACGGCCCACGGGGAGTGGGCTAAAGCTCAAAGCTCTGTGTGGACTCGATGTGGTCTTCTGGCAGTCCTACAAATAGTCACAGCTTCTGAGCCATGGAGGGAACATAATTCAATCTGTGTGTGTGTGCGCACGCGTGTGCACGCACGCGGGCGCACACCTGGCATGCATATATGTGTTTGTGTGTGTGTGTGTGTGTGTGTGCGCACAGAGTCCAGGGGACAACCTCAGCTACCTTCCTCAGGTGATGACCACCCTTTTTTGAGACAAGCTAGGCTGGCTGGGAGCCCCAGGGATCCCCTTGTCTCTGCCTCCACAGCGCTAGGATTCCAAACACACACGCCCACGCACCAGCTTTTTGAACGTGGGTCCCAGGGACTGAACTCAGATCCCCATGCTGTGTGACAAGCACTCTACGGACTAAGTGTTCTCCCCAGCCCCAGAGCATGTTCTCAAGTGAACTTCTCGGCAGGCTGGCGGACCTGAGCCAGCTACCCTTGCCCTGAGCTAGCCAGGCAGCAGGGGTATTTCCAGCCGCTTTGTTCATTCTCTTACCCTGTAGCCTGAATCAAAGCCCGATGCTGCCCCAGCCTTGAAAGAAAGTGGGGTGGCCCTGCCCAGACACCGAGGCTCGCTCTTGTGTGGCCTCTTTAGAGGCCATTATTAATGATTTTTAAATTATTATTATTATTATTACTATTATTTTGAGACAGGGTTTTTCTGTGTAGCTTTGCGCCCTTCCTGGAACACACTTGGTAGCCCAGGCTGGCCTCGAACTCACAGAGATCCGCCTGTCTCTGCCTCCCGAGTGCTGGGATTAAAGGCGTTTAATGGTGTGTGTGCCAGAGGTCAGAGACATCTGATTCTAGGGTTACAGGAGGTCGAGAGCTGCCAGTGTCGGTGCTGGGATTCAAATACAGGTCTTCTGGAAGAACAGCAGGCACTCTCAACCGCTGAGCCATCTCTCTAGCCTAAATCTTTAATTATTTTTGGATATGGATTCCAGGATAGAAAATTCAGTATTTGGATTGATGGCTGTCAGACTTTCCCACTTCTTAAGAAACATCCCTGCTTTAATCCATCCCATTAGCACTGAGTGACTTGGAAGCACAAATATTAGTTTTGCTTAAACTCACTCAGGAATTACCTTCTCTTTCTCTTTGTTTTGTGTTGTGTATCTGTTTTTGAGACCGTCCCATGGGTTAGCACAGGCTAGCCTTGAACTAAAGATCTTCATGCCTGAGGCTCCCGGGGACTGTGATTATAGTCATACACCCAGTTCATCTTTTCTTCAGAAAGGATTTCTTGTTTGCTGTTGGGATTTTTGTTGTTGTTGTTGTTTTTTTTGTTTGTTTGTTTGTTTGTTTTTGCTTATGTGTATGTTCATATGCATGTGAGTGTGTAAAAACGTGTGTGTGCATGTGAAGGCCAGGGGTTGATGTCAGGGTCATCTTGTCACATCCCACCACAGACTTAGTTTTGGTAACAGGGTCCACCACCTGGAGCTCGCTGATTGGCTAGCCTGGTTGACCAGTGACCTCTGTGGTTTACCTATCTCTGCACCCCAGCTATGGAGTTACAGGATAGGCTGCTGCCATCATACCTGACTTTATAACTTAGGTCTGGGATCCAAATTCAGGTCCTCATGCTTGCACAGAAACACTTTTTCCCACTGAGCCGTCTCCCCCAGCCTGACTTCTTATCTTGGTTGCTTTTGGTTGGTTGGTTTTCATTTTTGAGTACCAGCAGATTGGGCTGTCTGCATTTTGTTTTTTAGACCAAGAGCCAGACCCAATGACTGCATGGGAGGGAACTTCTCAGGGCGCTTGTTCCCTTTCAATTTGAACCTTTTTTGTGGAAGTAGTCATGAGTTTCCCCCTGTAAGTAACTGTTTCCTTTCCCTTCCTGTTTATCCCGTGTCTATGTGTGTGCATCCACAACCAGAGGCAGCAGCTGGGGACAGCGGTGGAGATGGAGATAGCCCAGATGCTGGAGGAGAACTCAAGGATCCTCAAGTTCGGGTACCAGTTTACCAAGCAAGGGCCACGGACAAGAGTGGCAGCTGCCATCACAAAAAATAATGACCTGGGTAAGGCAGATGTGCTCTGTGCTGGTGTCAGTCAGAGGAGCACTGAGACATTCATCTTCCAGTTCAGAGGCTGCATCTCAGACACCATGCCGCTGGGCTCGGTGGGCACTTTATTAGGGGGTCATGGCAATCCTCTGGTCTTTGAGATGCTTAAACTTCAACACAATGTTCTTTTAGAAGAACTGTTTACTGTAGCTTAGCTCTTGCTCGACCTCTTTGTCTTTACCTCTTCTACACCCCCCCTCTTTCTCTCCTCCCTCCATGATGATGGCACTCTCTCCGTTTGGACACAGGGCATGGTGATCCCAGGTTCCTTATGTATGACCTCTGATGGCACTATTTTTCAGTACTCGGGCTTGAATGTGGGGACGCGAATACGTCTGTATTTTACGTGTGAAGTACTCTAACAGAGCTCTACTACATAGGTTAAACTCTTGCAGAGCTTTTCAGCTTTTCCCTTTGCCTTCCCATGCTGTTGCACTTTGCTGAGGATCCACACTGTCCTCTCTGTTAGAAGGAGATGGGGCATATCCTGGTCAGTCACAGTGTAGAAAGATGGGGCAGATTGGGAAGGCTTGGTCTGGGGACATCTTAACAGCATAGCAGAGGGACATCTAAGACTGGACAAGTCTACCTGGCAACAGTGTACCAGACCTTGGACAAGGGAGAAGGAAAGACACCAGCAGGACATAGGGCCAGACTTTCCCACTGGGTGTAGAGAGTGAGGCCCAAGACCCAGCAGAAGGCTTTGGGAAAGGATGGAGACATCCAGAAGATGACTAGGAAAGAAAATATTGTTGTTTGGGTCTTTGTTTTTTGGGGTTTTTTTTTGTTTGTTTGTTTGTTTGTTTGTTTGTTTTTGTTTTGTTTTGGTTTGGTTTGGTTTTTTTGAGACAGAATTTCTCTGTGTAGCTTTTGGAGCCTTTCCTGGAACTCACTCTGTAGCCCAGGCTGGCCTCGAACTCACAGAGATCCACCTGTGTCTGCCTCCCGAGTGCTGGGATTAAAGGCATGCGCCACCACCGCCCGGCTATTTTTTTTTTTTTTTATTCTTTTGCGGGGCCGCCACCCAGCTCCCAAATAAATCACACACACAGACTTAATTCTTACTTATGAATGCCTGGCCTTAGCTTGGCTTGTTTCTTGCCAGCTTTCCTTAAATTATCCCATCTACCTTTTGCATATGGGCTTTTCCCTTTTCTTACTTCTGTGAATCTTACTCTTACTCCACGGCTTGCTGTGTAGCTGGGTGGCTGGCCCCAGGAGTCCTCTTCCTTCTCTGTCTGCTAGAGATCTCTCTCTCTCCCCCAGATTTCTCCTTCTATTAATTCTTTCTGCCTGCCAGCCCTACCTATCCTTTCTCCTTCCTCACTATTGGCAGTTCAGCTCTTTATTAGACCATCAGGTGTTTTAAACAGGCACAGTAACACAGCTTCACAGAGTTAAACATACATAACACGCCTTAAAATAATATTCCCCAACAGAAAGCGTGTTAGGTCTGTATCTGAGCAGCCCAGAAAAATAGGCAAAGCAAGGCTCCAGAAGTACTGACAACAGATCCCATGCCCAGGAACGCCTGTTTCAGGCGGCAGCATCTCCACAGCTTGGGCTACTGAAAGTAGCAGGCAAGAGGGGAACCTCAGACAGGGGACCAGTTGGCCAAATCCAGGAAGCTTCCAGAAGCCCCTTGTTATCAACCAAAAGAGTCTGCAGCACAGGAAGCAAAAGCAGAAGCAAAGGATTGTGGAAAGCAGGAATGCAGTCGGGTACGGTGGTGTGCACCTGCAATTCCAGCATTCAGGAGGCTAATGCAGGAAAATCCCGGCGGAAGACCAACCTGGGCTGCATGGTAAGACCGTGTCAGAGGAGGGAAGAGAAGGATAGAATCAGGCAATTGTTTTTGAAAGATGTTTTTATTTTATGTGTATTGAATGTTTAGTTTGCACGTATGTCTGTGTACCATGCATGTGTCTGGTACCCTCGAAGGTCAGAAAGAGCATCGATTTTCCTGGAACTGGGGTTATGGCCAGTTGTGAGCAGCTACATGGGTGCTAGGAATTGAATCCAGGTCATCCAAAAGAACCACTGAGTTGTCTGTCCAGCCCCCAGATCAGGCCATCTTAACAGCATCTTTGATCCCAAGTACTGCTTCAAAGGAACCTCAAGCTGATTTTGCCTGTTGTCTAAACCACTCATTTTTTTTTGAAGACCAATATTTAAGGTTTGTTTGTTTGTTTGTTTGTTTGTTTGTCTGTTTTGAGACAAAATCATACTGTATAGCCCAAGCTGTCCTGGAACTCACTATGTAGCCCAGGTTGGCCTCCAATTCTTTTTTTTTTTTTTTTGGATTTTTCAAGACAGGGTTTCTCTGTGTAGTTTTTGTGCCTGTCCTGTATCTCACTCTGTAGCCCAGGCTGGCCTCAAACTCACAGAGATCTGCCTGGCTCTGCCTCCCGAGTGCTGGGATTAAAGGCGTGTGTCACCACCGCCCAGCATTGGCCTCCAATTCTTGATTTTCCTGCCTCAGCCTCTGGAATACAATGACTGCAGGTGCACTCCACCACATCTAGGACTTAGGAGTTTTTAATCAAGATGAGATTTAGAGAATATGAGCGCCCCTTTACAGAAGGCTGGTCTCCCCGCCATTGTCAGCCAATCGTCTTTTTAAAATAAGAAACACAGAGCCAATGTAAAAGAGAAAGCCGAGAGGTCAGAGCTCAGAGATAAAATCTTACCTCCTGCAGTGCTCCTAGCTTCCCCGAGAGAGGGAGGTACTTCCTGTGTCCCTGTTTAAAT